TGCCGGGGATTCGCAAGAAGGCGGAGCTCTCGGCGCCAGCTTTAAAGCAGATGATTCTACTCATGCTACACGAAGAATACAAAGATCATGTCAAACTTTACACGGATGGCTCGACAACTGTTGGAGGATCTGCAGGAGCTGTGATCTTCCCAGCAAGAGCCGAAACCATCCAGTTCAGAACATCACACAAGACGACATCGACAGCCGTGGAGCTCGCGGCACTCCGCAGCGCACTCCGCAGGATTGACCAAGAGACACCACAAAAATGGAGCATTTTTACTGATTCGAAACCAGCTCTCCAATGTCTACACAATACTCTACGTCGTGGACCTCAAGATCAATTGGCGCTCGAAATACGACAACTGTACCATCACCTAATAGACGAAGGACATGACATATCTTTTCAGTGGTTACCAGGCCATTGCGGCATCATCGGTAACGAGCATGCCGACAATGCAGCTAAGAATGCTCACGAAAATGGAGTGATGGAACCTATTCCACTATCAAGAAGCGACGCAGCAGCAAAGATTAATACGCTTGCGCAGGATGTCGCAAGGTCTATGCGGAATACGCCCGGTTTTCTCCACACCCGTCTTCACCGCCTGGACCCATGCCTACGACTTACTATTCCATCTGGCCTACCCCGATCCGAGACGACCCTTCTCTGCCGTATGTGGCTTGGGGTGTCTTTCACGAACGCTTTTGCCTGCCGCATCGGAATGAGAGACAGCGCTACATGCGACCATTGCGACAATGACGAAACAATTGAACATATTTTATGTCAGTGCCCCCAGTACAGCTCTCAGCGACAGTCCCTCTCAGCAGTGTTTGCTCGCCTCGACGACCAGCCATTTTCTGAGCAGTCAATCTTGGAATGTCGGAAAGATCGAGCTTCACGCCAGAAAGCAACGAAGGCGCTGATGAAGTTTCTGCGAGCGACCCGCCTCGTAGAACGATTGTGACACTACTGTGTGCGAGTGTGTGTATGTGTGTTTGTGCTTCTCTTCCTCCCTTTCCCCTTACCCTTTCCCCAGTGCAGGGTAGCAAACCGGATATGTTTTCTGGTTAACCTCCCTGCCATTCCGCATTAAAATTTTCTCTCTTGTTCTGAAATTTGCTGCTGTTACTAAGCACGGCTTGCCGTCTTAGATCTTGTCGCCAATAGAATGATGTCCCCCCCTTCCTAATGCAGGAAAACGATCATGTATAGCACAATAACGATGACGTTAGTGATGGCGACAGCAAGAATAATCCGCCAAGGGTAAAGAAAACACTTGCGGCAAATACACACACACTTACACCTTTTGAAACGTCGACCAGACTGTGTAAGGTAACATATCCCATTTCATGCATTTTTTGTCCTACAATTTGTTCCCATTTGTTTGCTCCCATCAGTACTTCACATATAAATAATAATGAAGAAAATAGTATGTGGTTTCGTTGTTCTGAGCCTGCAAAAACTGTCTTGCTGTATTTGCATAGTTCCATTACACACCCGTCATTATTTTACACTCATACCTCTTTATACATCCTTCATGTTACGTATGCGAACGCTTCCCTGATTAAAAAGAAAAAAACCCCATTAATTCCAATGCACGCTAGTCGCGTTCCTCAGGACTCCTACTCAACTAGTATGACCTTCCATTCGTTTTTCGGTGACCACACAGCACTTTTCCTTGAACATCCTCTTAGCTATTTGTGAACTGGAAAATCGTTGGAATCGGTAAAAATTGGAGTCTTGGGCGAACTTTCACTCACGTTGTGGAAGTGATGACGCAAGAGCCAGTGCAATGTCATACGTACGAACTATAACACTGCCTCATGCTTCTTTGGTTCGAGTAAACATCCGCAAATGCAGGCGAGCAACTTCTACTCTGGTCACAGAAGCAAAACTGGTTCACTGACGTTTTTCTAATCGTCTTTCTTCATGGCATATCGTATTGATGTGAAGATACGCCTGTTTTTTCGCTCCTCTTTCCTATCCCGCCATTCTCATCGGTCTGGTGGCTTCCTTAGTTTCCTCAACCTCGTGCTGATTTATGAATAGGCTGCAGCCCGTGCTGACAGGCAGCCAGCACGCTCCTATTTACGAGCGGGCGGGAGACCACACGCAGTACCACATGAACCCGTGTAGGAGCCACACGTTTTTTTTCAGAAGAGTTGTTATTGTTTTCTTTATGTCGTTACGAGTTCACGTAAACTGTCATCCTTGCGAATGACCTCTACCGTTCTAGCGCGTGTAGTGCAATAACTTCTATTTCGCACCGCGGTCATGTACACTCGCCCAGAGCTTCTTCGCTGAGCCGATACGTACAGCGTGAGATGCAGTATTTTGGATGGGCGAGAAAACTAGCATCGAAAGACAGAACGGATAATGAGGAGAAGAACTCTTGAGCAGATATTTCTTGGCGAGGCGGGACTCAAACCTGCTTCTGCGCAATCTGAAGGCGTGAATCATAACCATTCAGTTATCCAGGCACGATATCGAGACAAAAAACATAGCCTTGTATAGTAGAGCATAGTTTAGTATGGCAAAAAGGTGGGAAAGGAAAGTGGGGGTGAGAAAGAGAGAACCAATGAAAGAAAAAATTATAGAAAGAGATAGAAAGGAAAGTGAAGCGAGGAACAGAGAGACAGGGGGTGTTTGAATTGGAAGGAAGAGGCAGAAAGATAAGAAGAGCGAGAAAGAGAAATACATTGATATAGAGTACAAAGAGAAGTAGCAACACAGATGAAATAGGCACACAAAAAATAGAGGGAAAGAAACTAATGAGAAGGTATTATGAAAGCAAGGCAGAGAAAAACTTGGTAGGCGTTCGAGCTCCACCTTCAAAAGTAGATTGCGATAGCGTAACCGGACCCTGTTCACATCGGCGTCTGACTTGCTAGCCTAGTTTCGCTTCTCGGAAGACACCAAAACCATGATGCACGGTTATCGTAACATGGGCCCTTTCAAACTATCCTAGAATGTATTCTACATGTCCAGTTGTGAAGTGATCACTACTAGATAAATATTCCTTTTAAAAGTTAGAGATGTACCTCCTACGCGTATGTAAAGAAACACGTGCCTCAGCGCATCTAGACACATATGTTTGATGCCATTGGTGGTAATGATTATTATTCGTGCCTCTGTGCTTTGTATTTAGCGGGTCTTTAAACGTGCCACTCACTGCGTAGTTTGCATGCTTGGACATCTGTGTTTGCGTGAATTAGATTACGTGAATCAGCCACGCAAGTTCACATGTGTTAATTACTCTCTCACCACTTAAGACGTGTACGGGGCTTTTTTCGAGGCACTTTCGAGCAGAAGTGTGGCTCTGTAGCGTGGCACACCGGAGTCTTTGATTCGATTACGGCTATAAGAAAATATTTTTTAACATGAAATTGTTTGATGCCTGGGTCTCGCCAAGGCTCCATCGACACATATGCGTCCCGGATAGGACGTTATAAAGTATTCGCTAAGAGTTTGTAAAGAAAATGAAGCTAGATAAAAACGTTCCACCACCTGAATTGGAACGTACGACGCCTCGCTCCCCAGAGACAGCGCTAATCGGCTCGTACAGAACGTACGTTCTTCACCATGTTAACAGTGAGCAATTCTTTCCGATGGAGGTGGATATGGGGTAGGCCCGTGTGCTCAGATTTGGGCGCACGTTAAAGAACCCCAGGTGGTCGAAATTTCCGGAGCCCTCTACTGCGGCGTCTCTCATAATCATACGGTGGTTTTGGGACGTTAAACCCCACATATCAATCAATAAACAGCGAGCAATTCGTATACACCATTTACCATTGGCAGTGTTTAGATCTTGGGGGCTTCAGCGTGTTCTTGTTAACACAAGAGAGATGGCACGAGGGAGCGTGAAGGGCGTGCTTTAAAGGTCATCACCGTGTACCTGTTGCAACGCATATGCGCCTCTACAAGGGTAGTCCCTCATTCGCGCGCGCTTGTCTCGTGGTGGTGGTCTTTTTGTACGTCTTGTGTTTTCAGAGCACATCTTCGTTGAAGTTACAGAGAGCTTGCTGCAACGGTCGCGTTGCGAAAGGAGCGCGCTGCTCACACACAAAGATGTAACATGGACTTGTTAGGTCACACTCGTCTGGAGTATAAATGTACAGTCGTCAGCAAGCTTTAACACGAACGCTCCACAGCATGTCTTCGAACAGTTTGATTGACGGTAGCGCGGCGTAGCTTTGGGTTCTGCGTCCGAGATGTTACTCATGCACGCCGACGTACTATACAAACCTACCGAGGTATTACCTCGACAACAGCGCCCAGCGATTTGCAGCTGGCGTAAGTTCAAGTATTCCAGGTCACGCGTCGGAATGTTCGTGCTAAGCTTGCTGATGACTGTACATTCCTTTTGTACATCCTACCTTGTGTTTGAGCACAGCGTTTTAAGTGTCGGGCACGGGCAGTTGCTCATTCGCATTCGTCCTGTGTATGTTCTATTCATGCTTCCTTTCTACATGAGCAACGTGCTGCAAGTTTTGAGCTGTTTGCCTTCGTTTACGTGAGATTACAATTTGTTGCCACAAAATTGATTCTTTGGCTGTCGTGGCGATGCAGTAAACAATGAATGTCCATCTAGCTCTGTGAAGATACGTTCGACTTTCGAGCTAGACCTATAGCTATGACAGAGAGATCACCCACGTTTTTTCAATTATTTATTCGCATCTATCTCAAATTTTTGTTCACAGAGAACACTAATTTTTTGCTCACCACCGAAGCCACTTATTGAAGCAATCACTTTAATAAGGAGAAAAAAAAAAGGCCAGCCAATGCCACACTACCTTCAGTCGTGCCACAACTCGTGCGAATTAAGCTGCCTTTATATACACCTTTTTTCAACATGTTCGCAAATGGTGGTGCATAGGGTGGAATGAACCTTCAGGCTGAAGTTTTTGCCACTACAAGCACGAAATCTACCGTAATCATCCATGCCCCACCCACAATTATGAAAATTATTATTATAATTACTATGATAGCTTTATTCACTCACTCATACCGGCGGTACACTTGGCTATTCACTTTCATTCACACAGCCCCTGCTGCTTACATTCTGTTCGTGAACACGCTTATGGCCCATGTGGCTTCCGAACTATATAACCGAAAATTATAGCGCGACTGAAAGAAAATTTATTATTCGCCGCTCTTCAGCCACCTTAGAAAGCTACAGGTTCAAGTTCGTACCTAATTTAGGCCTCCGTGTTTTCGGTATTGCACTTGTACTGTATAATTTAGAGCATATAGCATTGTGGGCATTAGAGAATGAATTATAGCGGAGTCATAAGATGTATCTGATCTGAAACTGTTATTACATGGTGGGAATATCACACCCTCGTTAAGGGCTTGTAACTTACTCTCTATTGTAACTTTCCCTCTACATAAATCACACAGGACACTTTTAAGATCCTGCAAGGGACAGTGCGGGTGGTAGTGTACACATCACTAACTTAATAGTTAAGCCGTAACAGCTCCATAGCTACCAGATATCACTGTAAAAATAAAACGAAGTACTTTGGTAAGCCTCTGCTTATTACTCTTATTTGATAGTGTTGGTAAGTAGTTAGCTGTGGAGAAATTGAGGGAAGTCATTGAATATCGAAAAATTGATCAAGAAAGTTTTTTTCAAATTAAACAGGCAGACACAGATCTTGCTTTGACTTCTGATATTGAAACTGTGATCTGTAAAGCAAAATGCAATTATATCCATCTGCTGCTGCTTACAGTATACAACGTACGTGATTTTAAGACGTGCTGTTCACTCTATTATGAGTAGTTCCCGTTGCAGGTAACATGCTCCAACATTTTGTAAATTGAAGTACTTTCTTCGCTCAACAACCAGATGTCTGGATTGTTACTTGTGGTATACGGAAACGGTATGACATAATGTACGTACCACGATAAATTCGTAATATGCAAAGTAGCCCGCACATTATTGTAGGTGCACCACATTACATGGCTGCCAGGTTAATTATGCGAATCTTGTACTTTATAATTACTTGTTGGCAACCACCTCGCATAACGTTCAGATGGTCTCAGTGACGTTAGGGTTAAGGCACGCGCTCATGCACTAACGAATAAATAAGGAAGCAAACTGCTGATGTGCCCTCTAATACATATACATTTCCGATGGAGGCGGAAATGTTGTAGGCCCGTGCGCTCAGATTTGGGTGCACGTTAAAGAACCCTAGGTTGTCGAAATTTCCGGAGCCCTCCACTATGGCGTCTCTCATAATCATATGGTGGTTTTGGGACGTTAAACCCCACAAATCAATCAATCCATTAGATATATATATATATATATATATATATATATATATATATATATATATATATATATATATATATATATATATATATATATATATATATATATATATATATATATGTGTGTGTGTGTGTGTGTGTGTGTGTGTGTGTGTGTGTGTGTGTGTGTGTGTGAGTTTTTCAGCAGCTGGTAGGAGAGTATATATATGCCTATGCTGACCGTACATGATTACGTAAAATATCTGCAAAGCCACTGGTATTTTAATATAGCTTGGGTGGCGGTAAACATGATACATCACTCTTGTGCATGCCATACTTTTTATTAGATTTTGTCAAGGTACTGGACGCCTTGAGACAGCTTACACAACTCCCAGTATTGTGCAGATAGTCGCATAGTTTCCTGCAAAGTTTACTAAAGAAAACCATGGCAACGGGATCCATTAGAGGCCACGGAGATTATCGGTGGTGCATAGATATACCTATTCTTCACTCTTGCGACTTTCGACAGACTTGTGGCTCTTTTATTGCTCTGTTTTCGCTATTGGTTCGAATAGAGAAATCGATTGTTGTGACCCTCGTGAGCTGATTTGAACGGGTCAGATTGAGGAGGGTCAGGGCGGTAAAGTGCGATCACTGAAACTTTTCTGAACTTCGTCTTGCGAGAAAAAGCTGTAGCTCACATGGAGCCGATATAACAATGCTTAGGAAAATCCTTGTATACTACCCACTATTCTCATGCGGGCTGAAGTGTCATGCGTTGTAGCGGCCATAGCTAGATACCATCCACTTAATGAACGTTTCAAGTTGCAGAGATGGTGCAGCCTTACAGGAGCCTTCTTTGCCGTATGTGCATTCGAGAGTACTCTGTCAATAGTCACGTGAAACCTTACAAAAATGATCTTAACCCGAGAGTATTAGCCCCAAAATTACTCCCGTACTCCACGCCATCAACCAAGCAAGACCGTGCTGTTGTTCACACGCCTTTATTTACATTTTATGCACTTGGTGGGCTCAGCTGAAGAGCTTGACGCGTTCATCTGATTTAAAAAAGCGTATTACTCATAAAATTCGATTGTATCGACTGCAAATCTGACAGCGCTGCGTTGCAGTAATCCCGTGCTATCACGGCACGTTTTTAACCAAGCAGTGAGAAGCGCTACCAACATGGCTGTCGAGTCAGCTAAGACGAATCCTGGTTTCTTCTATCCCGCAGTTTTTTGGTGTAACCTTCGTGGCTCAATGTGAAACATGGAACTCTTTATTTGATTTACTTTCAGGCTGGCGACCACAGAGCTCTCCGCCACAGACACGCTGACACCCTACGGAACAATATCCCTTTCCGGCGAACCGCGAAACAGGGCGCAGACCGCACACCTGGTCCTTATCGCGGGAACTACAGCCGTGCGAAACAAATGACCGTTGTTAATGAAAGAGCCGCGCTACAACGAAAAGCAGATAAGAAACTACAGTGACTGAACACAATGCATTACATGAGGCGGAACATGTATTTATGGCGGATCTTCCAGTGTGTCGTTTTCGCGGTCATGGTATACGTGTTATTAGAAAAAAAAATTTAAAAGATGGGTCAGTTTCCTTGAATTATTTTTTTCATGCTTCCGTTATATTAGCTATATTTAGACGACTATACTCCACAACAAATAGGTCCAAGCAATTAAGCAATTATCTTCATTTCTAGATATACAGCAAACAATCTTGCTGAGAGAGTTGAATTCCTCAAGCACGAACACGAGCTAGATTTCCTGAAAAGCGAACGAACATCCACATTACCATGGACAAAATATTGCAAGTTTTGCCAACTTTTCTTATTTACTCGTACGTGGCGTTGGAACGTCTTATTCGCCTTTGTGATGATGAAAGAAATCTTCGTATCTTATAACGTTTCCGGTAATCGTGCATTCTGTTCGTTCGATCCACACACACACACACACACACACACACACACACACACACACACACACACACACACACACACACACACACGCACACACGCACACACGCACACACACACACGAATTGGGGTCTAAATCACAAGGGTGACGGTCGGCCTTTTAGCATTTTTTACCAGTTTCCGTCGCCTTTGAGTTCGGCCCTTCATAATTGTTATTTAAGTTCGCAGGTTAATTAAATACTGGTGGAAAGTAAAAAAAATTGTCAAGTCTCAGTATTCATAGCGCTGAAAGTTCGTGGCTGCATCCTTCTATTTCTTTTTTTTTGCTTTTATTGGCCTCATCGAGCAAGGTTATGAAAGAAAAGAAAAATTATTGACCATCTCCCCGAAGATAACCCTGATGGGATGCGATGCAGAAGCGGTGCGCACGGTGTTGACCCGGTTAAAGCTGGCGTTGATGCGAGTGCTGGAAGAGCGGTTTGAAGCAAAACTCGGTGTAGCGTCACTCAAGTAAGCATTTGCTCGAAATCCAAAGACACAGGAGAAGGCTTGGGTTTCGTTTCAGGTTCATCGCAGTTAAACAAGCCGAAAGATGATTTCCACTCGACGTGTGGTCGAGCGTTGTGGGCGGTGGAGTGTGGGAAGCGAGACATAAGTGTGTTGCGAGCGGGGGTAGGAGCCAGCAGCTTGGGGCGCAGCGGCGAGCATGCTGCACGAGAGGGAGAGAGCAACGTCAGCGCACCTGCGACGGAAGCGTGGGACGAGAGCATGACGTCAACACACAGCTGTGGCGTGGCCTACTTAGCACCGCTCCAACACCTGTGGCGAGGAAAACGCGTTGTGGCGCGTTCGTACGGGCGCACGTACGTGCGTCATTACACACGTGATTCAAAGAGTGGCTTCGCATCTAACAATCGGCTGAAGCCAGTAACAGCAAGCATTGCACCCAGTGCATTCAAATTCTAGTTCGTCTAACCTAATGCGATCGTGATGAGCTTAAACATATATTCAACTAAATAAAAAAATACGTGTAAATGGTTCACACTTGCTTCAGTAACTACGTCTAAATAGCTGACATGAAATGTGGCAGTAAAGGATAAAACACATACGTTAATCTTAAAGATATGATGCGAACATTCCTTTTCTGTGAAACATTTAAGACAATGAAAAAACTGTGACTTATTCGCAAGCCATATTGTACGGTTTGTTGAGTATGTTTCAATCAATGCTTTATAATGTGTTGCATAGAGGAGCTGTACAGCATGGAATCTTAATACATGAAATCAACTCAATTGGGATGAATTTCGTGTGCTTTGCAACGTTCGAGATAAGTCTCGAAATTAAATATTTATCAGGACCATTTATTTATTTCTTGTGAGGCATCGAATCTCAACCTGTCGGATTCAGCGATTCGTAAGCGTGGTGGAATTATCTGCAGGACATGGGTTAAGCAAACAAAAATACCGAAAAAAATAAAAAAGAGCTCGCACCTATACCTGTAAGAAACACTTTTTTTCCATTGTTTACGCAGGAATGCTAGAGGCATTACCTAATTATTTTTATGACGTCGTTTCGACATATATAGCACTGAAACACTGATAAGATTTTTCGTAAGTTGCCAGAAAAGCCATTTTTTTGTACCGAAGATTGTGGGAAAAGTAATAGCATGGTCATTTAATACTTTTTTTTCTGGTCATAAAACTCCCATGAAAGTTTCATATGGGAACAAAAGTGACCACCAGAGGTGTCACCGTAAGCAGGAGGGCATCTATCGGCCGCACTTGGCAGGGCTGTAGCGCATTCGCGGACGCGTTTCCCAACAAA